GAGTTGATATCATACTTGCAGGCTTGTCTGGAAACGTTTATAATTTGGGGTTTAACCGATTAATCACAATGACGCTCCTATAAATCAATTGAAATTCTCCACACTGTTGAACTACTACCGGTACATGCTAAAAACTAAATTGTTGTCAAAAAATCACCGCTTCAGTGTCTACCTATGTTTCATTGCCACTAAAACATTACTCAACCATTGAAGATTGATACCTAAACTAACGTGTGCACTGAATTGAAACACTAGCAATACTCGTGATAATTTTGATTCTCTTTCAACACTTTATGATTTGGAATTGGCAGTAGCAAGTCTGTAGTAAGTCAATTTGGCTAACAAAATACTGCAGTACCAAGTCAATGAACCTTCCCCCTCTATTTGCCCCCTGAATATGTACCTGGACTGATCTGTGTTCTATATGAGGTGAATATCAGCGGATTGATAAGGAGTAATTTGTCGGGTAACCAATTATCAATAATAAATTAACACCACAAGATAATCAATCTGACTGAATCAGAGTGATTCGATTTAATTTACATAAAATAACCAATTGCATTTTATTTTTCAGTTTGACCAATACATTGGCCAAACCATAACATAAAATATGACATGGGAAAACAATGACAGGTATATCAGTTTTATTATGTAACCAACAAATATGACATTGTGTATAGCGCCCCCACAGGTGAATAACAAACAACAAATTTCTTTTACTTGGTAAATTAATAGTCCATTACACAGCATGTAAAAGTATTGTACACAATTTTGTAACATCATTATGTGATCCAAATAGAACATGATTTACAGCAATGACCATCACCTATTATTAGTACCAAACTACTTTCAGATTTATTATCTGCATAAACAAGTATAATTAGTTGGTAAATATTGTATAAATCTAAAAAATGTATTGAAATAAATGTGGATGGATAATGTAAATTACTGTATTAGATATGCAAGATTGGCATCACTGGATAGTGACATGGATGGATGAATTAATTAAAGAAATTAAAAAAAAAGGTTATTCAAAAATGTTAAAATAATCATTTCTATTATGATTAGCATATAGCATATATACCATACTGGAAGACAATGGTCTGTTGCCGCATCCCTAATAGAAGTCGCACAGATTCTTTTAGAAAAATTGAGAACCAAAAATTCATTATTTCTCATATGTGTAGGTGGCTCTAAGAGAAGCCGCATTCCCTCTATTGCATTCCACCATTTTAATAGAAGCCGCAGTTTCTAATACAGATTTTACAGTACATAATGTGTATCAGGAAATCCCAAGAACATGTGAATTGCTGATATAAAATCAATGTGGCATACAGTTTTCAAAAAGACTGAAGACACTGTATTTGCTCTCTTAGAAGACAATGCACTTATATAAATTACTGGTGTATTTCTATGGAGAAAATAAGTCATATTTTAATGATTCAGTATGCAATGTTTGGTTTATATGCACTGCTATTGCTTCCAATAAAGCAAATACAGTTGCAAGTTGGGCAAAAATGTCTTGGTTGCAGGAATGCTGTTGAAACATGTAATTACTAGTTGTCAATACAGAAATAGCAAAACGTCACAAGACTTATTATAATCAGAATTAAATTTCGCTAAGTACTGGTAATAGTGAATGCAATAAATTGAAAGATTAGTCAACATGTACATTGTATCAGATGTTGTTGTACATTGTATCAGATGTTGTTGTACATTGTATCAGATGTTGTTGTACATTGTATCAGATGTTGTTGTACATTGTATCAGATGTTGTTGTACATTGTATCAGATGTTGTTGTACATTGTATCAGATGTTGTTGTACATTGTATCAGATGTTGTTGTAGATAGGCTTTAAAAAAGCTAAATAGCCAGTATCATCTTCTCTTCAAACAAAAGAAACATTAACTTTCACAGTAAGCAGACTTGATGTGAATGTGATGAAAAAACTTGACATGTCACATACTAGTCTTCAAATAGCAATTTAACTTGATATAAATCACCCCCACAGTGCAACTGTAATCAAAGAAAGCTGAGAAAGAACTCTCGTGTGCTGAGGGTATTGGAGGCATATGAAGTAGAAAATTAATTCAAAATCTAATTTTAGACTGCAACTAACATCACTCTGCAATGTGATCCAAAGAAAATTCTTCTTTCGCTTTAAGAAATATATTTGATTGTGATCTGCAGTGTGTGATTTATTCCACAGCACGTATGCACCAAGTTTAATTACAAATCTATAGAGTGTTTTATATGATATCAGAAAATTGCCTAATTTATGCAAATTGAGCATTTAATATTCATGAATTCCAACCCTAAACAAATCGTATCTGTGGATTACTCCAGAACATACAAGAAGTTTCATTGAAATCTGATCAGTGTTACTTCTAAAAAAGTTAAAAGCTAAAAAATAACAACAGACAAACATACATATACAGACAAGGCAACCGCAAAGACCCATTGTCTGCTTCACACATGGAAGCCAAAAATGTAATATTTCCACAAAATATGATGGTACCCAACAATATTACTGTCAATTCAAGTTGCATTCCGACTTTGCGTGTGTGTGGTATCATCCCCTAATTAATATGCACATCATCGAATACTGAGAAATAAAACATGGAATATATATGTCGCGAGCGTGTCCTTGAAACTTGAGTTCCAAGTGGCGTAATACAACAGATTGTTTATTCAAAACACGTGTTCCATGTAGTAGTAATATGGCCAAAAATAAAAACAGCCGTTATTTGGCCATCTTTGATCTGATTATGAACACACTGATATGTACATGTATGATGTATGTGCCAAATACGAATGAAAATGGTACATAAATTGTGGAAATATAGTAGTAAGGCCAAAAAGTCAGATTGCTGTCAATCGGCTATCCTCGACCAGATTTTGAAACAAATTGTCATGGACATGCATCCCAACATGTATAAAGTACATGTATGTGCCAAATTTGAATGAAAACTGACAGAGCACTTCCAAGATAACGCATACAAAAACAAGATGCCTGCCAGTCGACCATCTTTGATCCAATTGCGAAATAAATTGTCATGTAACCTAACATGTATAATCTATGTACCAAGTTTGAATGACAACTGACAAAGCATGTCCAAAATACAACATTTTCAAAAAACAAGATGGCTGCCAGTCGGCCATTTTGAATCGAATCGCTAAACCACTGCATGTGCATATGTCCCACATAAGGTACTAGGCACATGCAAAGAATGAACGGAATCTGTCCACAGGATTCTGAAATATGACTATTGACAGACTGACGCACGAACGGACGGACAGACTCAGGAACTCACGGACGGTCGGGGACATGTATCCTAACATGTATGATCGATGTACTAAATTTGAATGAAAACTGACAAAGCATGTCCAAAATACGACATTTTTAAAAAACAAGATGGCTGTCAGCCGGCCATCTTTGATCCAATTGTGAAATAAATCATCCCGGACATGTATCCTAACATGTATAATCTATGTACCAAGTTTGAATGAAAACTGACAAAGCATGTCCAAAATACAACATTTTCAAAAAACAAGATGGCTGCCAGTCGGCCATTTTGAATCGAATCGCTAAACCACTGCATGTGCATATGTCCCAGATAAAGTACTAGACACATGCAAAGAATGAACGGAATCGGTCCAAGGGATTCTGAGATATGACTCCGGACGGATGCACGGACGCACAGACGGAGACCGAATTGGTGGTAAAGTGAGTGTAGGATTTTTTTTGTAACATTATGATTTGAACACATTTTATGTTTTTAGCTTTTTATGGAGTGTACATATTTACAAACTGGGAATGCAACTCTGAGGCATTGTAAATTTTATTTTTCAATTCATGTTTTATGATACCAGTAGACTGGATACCAGGACTATGAAATCATTGTTTGTGTTATAGCGATAACTAGCTCTTATTTTTCAAATAAGCCCTAAATTCTTTACCCAGCCTAACATGGAATTCATGTTGTGGATATTCAATGCGTGGAGCATATCTACCGCTTTCAAATGCAATTGAGCTCATTCCTCTTTGAACCCCTTCACATATTTCAGTGTCTTCTCCTTGTACTTGATTAGCAGCAACAAGACTCTCATCAACATATCTCTGTACTTCTTCCTCAGTTTGTTTCTCCACAAAACTTTTATCAAGGTAGAAATCATAAACAAATTCTGCATGATTATGACCATGAGGCACCACCATGTTTGTTTCAAACCACGGTCCGTATCTACTCACCATAAAGTTTGGATAGATGAAAGTATAAGTGGAGGATTTACCAATTCTTGCCTCAATTTTTGGATCATCACTTTTCAGCGTATCAACTATTTGTGTGGAGTAATCCTTGTTGACCTCCAGCATTCGATAGGTATCAAAATCATAATAACTCCCGGTAAATATCTTGTGCGCATAATCAATATGATATCCACCATCAATGAAGTTATCAATTATGGCTTTCCAGTTACTTTTAATGGGGAATGATTTCCTGCGGAAAAACTTGATTTCATTCTTGTTGATATCATATCCAAACTGTTGCAGTATTGCTTCATATGAAGCAAGTTGTTTGAAATCATCTTCACCACCGTCTCGTCCAGGGATCAACTTTACCATGACCAGTGGACCCCATGACGTGACAGGCATGGGTATTAGACCGTAATCTCTAGCTTTAAAATCTTGTATTCCTCTCATCTTTCTAGCCAATGTCAGTCGACCATCCAATGCATACTTCCATCCATGGTATGGACATTCAAAATGAGTAATAGAACCTTCACCTTTGACTACCGGCATAGCATGATGCCGACAAACATTGAAAAATGCCTGTAGTTGATTTTTCTCATCACGGCATACGATAAAAGATTCATCAGCAAATGTCCCTACAAAGAAAAAACATAATTAAAGCAGGGGAGTCGTCGTGTGCGCACGTGTCAGATAGTCATAGCATCTACCCATGAGCCTTTGCGTTTTTAGCGCATGTTGTTATCGTCGCTTGGGACTCAATTCCCAAGCGTGCGCAGGTGACGACCCTCTCGCTTTAATATAAATATAGTGAGGATAAATTTGAATCAAAATCAACTGTGAAAATATATCAGAGTTATTCAAAAAGAAGCGAATAAAAAGTATCAATCTTAACAGGAATTTAATTTCACTGTCATATTTTTAGCAGTGAAAATAGTGAATACCATTGCCATAAAAGCCCAAACCTACTTTTTTTTTCAACAACCCCCTCTTTCAGTGTCCATACCTTGAAAATACTGTCCTGGTGTTTCAACTTGATTTAATCTTCCAACTGCAACCCAGTTATTGGCAAAGATTGAACGCTTTTCTAATTCCAATATAGATGGATTAGTGTACCTGTCATAAAACAAATACACTTGATCATTACTGTAACACTTAATGCTAGTACACATACTCACACTGCACACAAGTTGCATTCATGCACAACTCCTTAAGTTCGGACTAAGAGGTCAAAAAACTTAGCCTCTGATTAAAAAACGAAGATCTGTGTTTTCAAGTTTGTGTGTTCCTTAGTCTGTGATAACTTTCCTGTGTATGAACGCGATTGGGTCACGCTGATGTGCAAAGATATGTGATTGAGCCTGTACTTGGTGTAACAAGACAATAGATAGACTATAGTGTAATTTACACAATGAATCAATGTTTCTGTGTGACGCGGTATTTTTGTCTGAATGCAAGCTAATTAACTGCCATCTTAAAATTGTTTCCTAGTTGATTATTATAAACAACTAAGACAGTCCCCCAAGTATCCCTTTGATATAATATCAAGTGTTTGAAGGTAAATATTTGATTCATAGTACTGTAAAAATGTTGAATGCAGCATTACCGACATAATCAAACAATATATCATGTACACTTGAAACTCACATAGATGCCAAACAGTTACATGTATATGCTGGCCACATTGTATGAAGTAAAATTTGTATGTCCTCCAATGTATTAGCAAATTAGTATGCCATACAGCTTTATGTTGATCATAACATATGGATTAAAATTTGGGTGTTAGCCCATTTGTGTCTGTAAATCATATGCTGCCCATAATGTATGCAGATTGAATATGGATGACAAATTTAACATTCAATTTGTTGTTTGTTGATATTTATATTGCCAAATACACTGGACTATGATTTGTAATAAACTGAAAATGCTGTCCTTATAGTACACATACGAGTATTCATTTGTGGAAACAATGAAATTCTATAACACATAGGTATGCACTGTATGGTTATTTTAGTATGTACAATAACAGTCACTGCACATATGCACTGTATGGTTGTTTTGGTATGTACAATAACAGTCACTGTAATATAGATAATATAACAATACAAGA